AAAATCCCAACAGGATCCCCCTTGCTTGTTTGGTCTGTTTTTGAAAATAAAATTGTAATTAGTTAATTTAATAAGTTTAGCAGATAACTCGTTCAACCAAGATTCAGAAATAACTATTATGTTAAAAAAATTATCTAAAGAATTAATCAAAACAAGTAAATCATCAACTTTATGTAATAAACTCCTACTGTTAATGTGCAAAATGGATAGTGAAGAGTTGAATGGAATAATTTTGATTGTATTGAAAGTATAATTAAAATCGTTGATAGTGTAGTAAGGAGAATTATAAGAAAAAGAATTAAGTAAATTAACATCAGGATCAATGTTAGAAAAAAGAATATTATCATTATTGGAGGAAGTAGTTGAATAATTATTTAACAAAACATTCGAAGCTGACGATATAATCAGAGGGTCCTCTTCTGTTATATGATTGTTAGATATTTTAGCCATTGTTAGTTGATGTAGTTTGGCCAGATTTACTGTTGAGGAACCGCCATTCACGGATGATTACGTTTTCTGGCAAATTGTCAGGATCTTGAATTTTAGAAGTATCACTGGCGTTGATGCATACTCTGAACATTGTTGAGTCTTCGTCTTCATTACGAGGCAGAGTACCTGACGGAGCCAGAGAGCGCTTCTGCACTGGATAGCACGAAATTACCTGAATACCCACCTCTGATAGGTAGTCAATCACATTACTTCTGCTGCATTTTTTGATGTTGCTCATGGCAAATACAGATTTTTTGATCAATTTTTTATCAGCACTGAGTTTATTATTATCGTTTTTTTTAGCGCCAACTATTTTAGTTGGTAATTTTGATGATTCCAATTTGTTGCTAGTTATTGCAGGATTAGGTTGATTGGTTTCAGGTGAATTGTTAAGTCTTGGTCTTTTTTTGTTACGAGCAACAATACTGAATGGCAAAGGGTTGTCTTCTAATGGAGATTGAACTACATCTGACCAGAGTGTAGCTGAATTAGCTGGATTAGGCATAGTTACGATGTTGTTTTTTTCCGGAAATATTGCCGTCGAAGTATTACTCGAATGACTGGCAAAATTATAGTTATCTCGTTTGGACGCTAAAAAATTTATCTTGTTGTTCAATGTTGAAATTTCAATGCCGTGCATGTCTATTGCATTAACAATTTTTACCTGTTGAGCGTACAACATTTCTTTAATTTCGTTTTTCAGATTTTTGAAATTAACTTTAATTATATTGTCAAGATTAGGAACTTTAGCCAGATTAACACTAGCAAATAACGAACATTTTTCTAAAACACTGTTATTTTTCAAGTATTTCAAAATTGAGACACAATCTAGGAGTTTTTCATTTTTTTGTATTGCCACGACCAACTAACTTGTCTAATTTATCCAAATTTTGAGTTTCCAATTCAGTTTTCAAGGTTTTCAAAGCAGATATGAAGTCTTCATTAGTATAAAAGTCAGACGTGTTAGCAATAAAATTATCATTATCAAATAAATCAAAGTTATTTGACAAAAAGTACAGGACTTCGTTAGCAACGACCTGTCTTGTCGCCATTTTGTAAGCAGATGTATGTATGTATGTATGTATGTATGTATGTATGTATGTATGTATGTATGTATGTATGTATGTATGTATGTATGTATGTATGTATGTATGTATGTATGTATGTATGTATGTATGTATGTATGTATGTATGTATGTA